AGGAGGCGATATAGTTGAAAAACTTCATCGGAGACCTTGGAGTTGTGCCAGCCATAAGGGAGCTTATGGAGATTTTCTGCAATAATGAAGGAGCGGTTGCCTTAACCAAGGAACCGAGGGATCATGGCAGATCCTGAAATATCGACAGGAAATATCACTTTATTAGACATCGGGTAGAAGAGGGACTCCTCGTAGTGAAGATGGTATCGTCAGAGGATAACCCAACATATCCCCTTACGAAGGGACTGAGTAGGGTTAAGCACTTGTAGCACATTAGAAGCATTGGGCTGAAAGACAATATTATTTTAGATTAGATAGCTTCGAAACATGTAATAGATAAATCGTAATTAACATTTGATGATTAAATAAAGGAGTATCATGTATAAGTAAAGTTACTTTCTTGTGTTAATTATTTATTTATTGTTTCATTTTGCATGTTTTGACTTCCAGAATAATAAGATTATTCGAACAGTCAACAGTCGCTCATACTTTGGAAGTAGGTATGAAAGAAGACTGTCATGAATTGGTTTGTAGATTGTCTAAAGTGTATTAGACATAAAAAAGGTTTACATCAACATTCATGAGTGCTTATGAAATTAGATTTGAGCATTAGATTAAACCTACGCTTGCTTGCATCACTTCATGGAATTTATCACGAGTGATCGCAAGACGATAATATCATATAGTCTTTAAACCTAGAAATATGGTTTATTGTTTGCAAGTTGGTTGTGCATTGATAATACATAAATACATCAGTAACTTGATGTTATAAAACACATTGTTGTGCATGATTTGATGAGTGAATAGTAAATACATATAAGTCGAAGTTTATCTGATCCTTTTATCCTAAGAGGGTAAAAGCAATATCTGGGCCCCTCGATGATTTAGTTTGACTTATGTGTCGGGCCCGGTCAGGACTAAATTGATGTGTTCAATTAAGTTCTATGTCAGACGAATCAGAGATGAAGAAAAAAACTGTTGTACAATAAGTATGACTATGTTCCATGTAGTTGTCCGCATGATATCTTGAGAACGGAGGACTATACAATCCCTTGTCTAAAGGACGAGTCAGAGTTCGACAACGACTTTTAAGAGCTATGATTGCTAATCGGATCCTGAAGTCGTACTTTCATTTATAGTTATTAGACTTATCCAAGTGGGAGACTATTGGATTAGTGTCTAATTCCATAACTGTATTTGGTATGTACTTGACCTGGTTTTAGTATGGTCCTTTTGGGTTGCCTTCACTAAAGCAAATGGACTGGATGATTAATGGAGAAAGAGGATATTATGGTTTATTAATATATTATAAGAATAATATATTAAAAGAGAAATCATATTGTTTAATTAATATTGGTCAAGAATTAATTAAGAAATAATTTTGTGGCTAAAAGAAATTAATTAAATAAAGGGGACTGGTATTGCAAATTATAAGATAATTGGATTTGGGTTGTAGATCCTTATGGATATGAAGGGGGACGAAATTTAGAGTGGAAGCCCACTATGATTTCGTCCATGGCCTTATCCCAGAGGGTTATTTGGACTTATTAAGGCCTAAGTCATCCAATTACGGTTTTGACTGACACCCTAGCAGCACCATTATATAAGGAACCCCTAGGGCATTAGAAATCGGCCACTAGAAACCCTAAGACTCCTTAGAGCCGATTTTGTGCCTCCATTCCCTCTCTTCAAAGATCATCTTCTTGCCTTGGTGTGTGTAATCCATTAGAGGTATTACAACTGTGATACTAAGCTTTTCAAGTTGAAGATTCTTGCTACTTGTGAAAGGTAATCATCTAAACTTGTTTTAGTTATTATTTTCAGATTTTGTATGCTAGATCTAGGGTTTGTAAGATTTGGATAAATTTGCATGTACAATAGAGAAACCAAGATCCAAAGCTTTAGGGTTTTGCATGTTCACCATATGATTGTTTCTTTGCTCAAAACCCATCACAAAAATCGATCAATCTAAAATTCAAATTTCGGGCTGTGCCCTGCTTTGCCAAATCTTAGAAAAATCATAACTTCCTCATACGAAATCAGATTTGGGCGTTCTTTTTATGCACTCTCTCAGTTTAATGTATACTACAACTTTCATTTATATCTCGAAGGCTAAAAAGTAGTTTATCAAAAATTTACTTTTTACGTTACGCAATACCGTGCCGGTTTAGACGTAAAATTTCAACGTGTCATAACTGCTTCGTTATAACCCGGATTTTGGCGTTCTTTATATTTTTGGAATCCTTGTCACGACCACTACCAGTTTCTTCATAGATATTGGGTTTATCTACACTTTTATTTTGGACGCTTATTTTCATTCTTAATTTATTATATCTTTATAAACAAGTATATAAACACATAAAATCACATAATTCACATAATATTCAAGTAATTCCTTTTTATTACTTCAAAACGAGTTACAATGGTTGACCTTGACTATTACATCATTATACTAATGCATATCTCAGAAACACGGGCGTTACACTAATCCCCATCAAAATTAGAAACATATACACGATCCCTCAAAACACCAGCAACGCCATATCACATTAATCGAACTAAAGTTATTGATTCAATCTAAATCACGAAAAATCAAGAGAACAACAGCTCAAACTAGAATGTCACTCTTCTTAAATATAGATCATGGCAAAGTTTTATACTAAGAAGCTAGGGAACAACAAGAAAAAGAAGACTCAAGTAGGTATACGGACAAATGTATTCAATGTTTAGACTTTTATAGTTCTTATTATTAGGTTTCAATCAATCTTCTATTTTAAGATTTAGGATTTTGTGGGTAGCGCTTTTAATGATTGAGATTGTAACATCCTTTTTTTCTTGGTACGATTTTTTTTAAATTAAATTGTTTGGGATTTTGAGTTTTAGGGGTTTTTGGAAGCCACGACGTAGAGTTATAGGCTTTCCAACGTGTGCCACGTTATAAGTCGTGACGGGACTTTAGTGTGAGTCGTGAGGCGTCGCCGTTGGACGTCTTAACCCTAATTTTTTGGGTTTTCGACCCTATTTAAAGGTATTAACATTTTAGGGTTCGCACTCTCAACATCCAAAACCTCATTAACAAAAATTACAACCTTAAGTGTGTGTGAGAGATCTTGAGCCTTTGAGTGCCATTTGGCGAAGAAGGAAGTGATCTTAATGCTTGTTCTAGTTGAGATCTTGCATTGCTAGCCTCTTCTAAACCATGGAAAGGTATAAAGGTTCCACCTTTATTACAATTTCGTTACTAGTTCTTTTTGTGAGAGTCCCATGTTGGTCATTTTGAGGAATATTCTTGGAGAATGAGCTACTCTAAAACCCTAAGATTATTTTATGGGGATTTTTAGACTTAAGATGTTAGAAAAAGGTGTCTTCTTGGTTTCCCTTTCAACATGCACAAGTTCTTGTCCTTAAAAGCATATAGAAAGTTAGGGTTTGAGTTTTTAGCTTGTTTTGGTTTGGAAACGGATAAAGTTGGAAACTTTATCCATTAAGTTCCTTAAAAGAATCAAATTTGAACTTTTTGGCTCTGGACTTAGGGGATTAAGAGCTTAATGTAAGTAGGTTGAATAGCCGAAATTTGCAACATGACCATTAGGGTGTCGTGACGCGACTCATGATGGTCAGTCGTAACTGTTTTGTCTTTTAGTGTTCTCGACATGACCAAGGAGATGATTGTGATGCAATTGACCGTTATTTGTTGACTTTTTGACCAACTGGACTTTTGGTCAAAATTTGAGGATTGACCTGTAGTCTGAGGTTTGGCCTTTAACTGTTATGTCGGTGAATTTGTGAGACCGTTTTTCGTGTGTGTACACTTGTAGATGTGATCCCTTTAGCTTTCAGCTCAGGTGAGCTATCTCACTATTATGTGTTACAATATATGTCCCTTGCATGATAGGATCTATTGATACTATAGCATGTTGATTGTATGAAAAGGCTTGCAGAGTCAACTATATGCTGATTGATTAATTATATGATATGTTGGTATGTTTGTTTTAGGAGTTGATGGTTGATCGAAACTAGAGACGAGAGCCTAGAATACTTGTGTTATTGGTTAGGCGTGCACTAGAGCCAGTAATCAACGCCGATGACTAGACATGCACTAAAGTTGTTAGTTGCCTTCTGTATAGGTGGATCGAGACTAGAGCCGAGAGCTTTGTTTGTATACAATGTATGTGTATAGCGGTATGTGGTATTGTAGGAAACTCATTAAACTTTGTGGTTACAGTTATAGATAAAAAAAAAAATTTTAAGGTATTTTTTCTAGATCATCGGAAGGATCCAGCTTGATTGTAGTATACGTGCATTGCAAATGATCATGTTTTTAAACTTCCATTGGTTATGATGATTTTGATACTTTGTTTCCCATGATTTGATTTTGATATATTGACATTATGGTTTGAGGATGTTTCGAATAATTTATCTACTTTGATCTTTTTATGGAAATGTTTTGGATACTTACTAAGTTTTTAAAAGAAAATTTCGGGTTTAAATTTAAGTAGTTACAAAGATTGTGCTTCTTGTGACGATACTTTTGATGACCACCAACTATTTGAGATGTGAATATGTGATCTCTACCAAGTCAAAGCAAAGCCTTTGAGCATCTTGTTGTCACATGCTTGTCTATTAGCAATTGCTTTAATTTGCCTTTTATACGGTCTCTAGAAAATATGGAATTTAAAATTTTCTGTTTGTCGATCCTTGTCTAAAAGATTTTCAAGGGACCATGTTCAGAAGATTTTTTTTTCAGTAAATGACTATCAACAAATTATAGGTTTCATGGAGAAAAATTGGCAATTCATTTCTATAATAAAACTTTTATCACCTCAAAAAACCATAAAAGAATATTGCTGATGTCTGAAAAAAAAAAAAAAAAAAAAACTCGGAGAGCAGAGTTTGTATATGCAAGAGCAATGCTTATTGTCAACAAATTTAATTTCATTCTCATCTTATTCCTACCATACCAAACAGATTAAAAATCTATTTTATTTCACTAAAGTAATCAAGCGTAACAATAACAATTAAAATGGTAATGATCCATTTTATTATATTGTCAAATTATACATAAGAATTGAATGTATTAGATTGTCAAATCATTAGGTCTATTTTATTCTCTTTGTTGTTCCATTCATAAATACCAAATAGACCTATAATGAAAATAAGGCTACTTTTTCTTTTTCTTTTTTTATTAGGTGAAATAAATCACACAACAAAACATAAATGTGGTAAATAGTATATATGCGTAAACAAAATACAATGATAGGGAAACAAAAGGCAATTACAGATCATACAAAAAAATAAATAAATTTCAAAAATAATAAATAAATAATATAAATCTAGAGCCAGCTGAAAGCAGCCAATCCCATCACCAAGCTCCCCACCACCATATGTACGCTCTTCAATCTGTCGGCTCCACTCTGCAAATTTCCATTTTCACACCAATTAAATTATATAAAATTATAAAATTATAAAATAAAAACATAAAGTGGTTAAGTTTAGCTAAAAGTAAGACATCGGAATTACCTCGTCGGCGACGTCGGCTGAATTAGGAGCAGGAGAGGGAGAGTCGTCGCCACTCGGTCCAGGAGAAAGTGCCTCGGTAGGCGACGGCGATGGAGCATTCATCTTCGTCTTCCTCTTGCTGGGTGCCGGAGCAGAAGCTTCAGGTGTAGAAGCAATCTCTGGTGCAGGAGAGCTCACTGGTTCAGGAACCGGTGGAGATTCAATCGTTGGTGGAGAACTCACCGGCACCGCAGCAGGTGGAGAACTCACTGGCACCGCAGCAGGTGGTGAACTAACCGGAGTAGGAACAGAAACCATCGGAGGAGCAGAAACTGGAGACTTCGCCGGCGGTGCTACGGTTGGTGAAGCAGTAGGCGTTACGACAGTCGTAGGAGGCGCAATCGTCGGGGAAGCAGCTGGGGCTTGACCTCCGACGGCGGCGAAAATGGCGCAGATGAATGCTAGAACGACGACGTTCTTCATTTCCATGTTTGTTTCTAGAGAGAGAAAGAGAGACTGTGTGTGTGTGTTTTAGAGAGAGAGAGTGAGGGAAGGGATGAAGAGTAGAAGCCGAAGACGTGAGTATAAGTAGCCGTTAAGGTAAACAAGGTTCGATGTGTTTGTACGTGTGGGACCCACAATGACAATAATTACACGTTATACGTGTTGTTTTTTGTGGGACCATGTAACGGCTTTATACAGCTGGAATATTTTTTCACATGGGCCACCGAAACTTTGTTGTATATGGGAAATTATTCGAAAGTGTAAGGGGGTCTATGTAAAATTTCCAAAATTAACATAGTTTGTGTCATCTCCAACTACTTCCATCTTATATAACATTTTTTACAAATTATTTATTAAATTTGTTTTAAGTTATTTATCTCCAATGATCTATCCCAAAAACCTAATTCTAAATTTTGTTAGATTTCAACATTCACCAAGGAAGCATAACCTACATTGAAAAAAAAATTATTCAAGGACAAAAGGAACGTTTGAAGTACATTGTACTTAAGGAACAAAATCAACGAATAACATAAACAAATTAATTATTTATTTTGTTATTATTTAAATAAATTAAAAAAGATACCCTAGTTGTTTTTGAACAGCTACAATAATAATAATAATAATAATAATAATAATAATAATAATAATAATAATATACACGTTTGGATTCAAATCATTCTAACATTTAAAAATAACTACTATTCTGCTTGCATCATGTTGAGATGTTAATATGTTTTTGTTAGATGCCATATTATGCATCTTATAGAATACTTTTCATTATTATTTTAGCATCATATTTTGTATATTTTCATGTCATTTAGATAAATAATGTTCAGCTGATGTATTTCGTTAGAATTCCCGTACTGCTCATGTTTTATGTTGATTTCAAATAGTTCGAGTGGAGCAGTGCTTTGGGACCAGTTGGATGCGCGTTTGGAGCTTGAAACTTATGGAGTATGTTGAGGAATGTTTGGAAGATGCTTTGGTCAAGAAACACTCAGTTGAATTGATCACACGAAGATAGAATATACAATATCAAAGTTAAAGGATGTTGCTGGCAGCTTTGACCCCCTATCAGTGTTTTGACCATATCTTGAGAACTGTAACTCCGATTGACGCGATTCAAAATGATCTGAAAAGTAGACGAAATTTCGGACGTCATAGGCACAACCTACGATCGCAGGTTGTCTCCTTGAGATCGCAGTTGACCTTTTTGCGATCGCAAGTTTGGTCGCAGGTTGCCATTGAGGTTCTTTTGTGCCCAAAATTCATCCAGAAGTGAAAACTCAAAACCTGCGATCGCCGATTGTCTCCTTGCGATCGCAGGTTGGCCAAAAAGTGTCAAAATAGCATCCTACTTCATTAAAATGACATCAGATGCATTTATTTCAAAACCTGTGATCGCAGGTTGTCTCCTTGCGATCGCAGGTGTGTCGTTTTTGCTGCTGGACGTATAAAAAGACCTTGATAGCCTTCCAGTAACCTAAGTTGACGATTCCAAAGGTATCAGACGACAAAAATACGATTTTAGAGGCGTTTCTTCTCTAATTTCATCAATTTCTGAAGATCTAAAGACCGTGGATCATCTCCTTCAAGTAGATTAGTAAGATTAGTTGTTTGATGTCTCTTTTCATCTATTTTTATCAGATTTTCGCCATGTCTGGCTAAACCCTAGTTTTCAGTTTTGCATAAGACAAGTACTTTTCATGTGATTAATCATTATATTTGGTTTTTGATTTGTGTTTCTATCTAGATTCTTCAGTTTTGTTCTTAATGAATGTTTGATTTTGATTCTTGTTAGTTTGATCACCTAGCTAGGGTTTTATCATTCTAGTTAATCAGTTAATAAAATCCGTAATTGTTCTTGTCAACTGGTAAAAGTAACAAGTATCAGATTGGTTCCGTTTTGGGATTTAAGTTTGGTATAAACTGTAAAAATCATATCTTTACGCTTCCAAGCCTGTGTGAAGTATTGGGTATTGCTGGGAATTTTACATAGACTATAATGCAAATTTTCTGATTTAATTAAGAGGTTTTTTGATTAGACAGTAAAAAGTTAGGGTTAATTGAAGAGCTTGTTTTGATTAACTAATTTAAGTAAAAGAGAAATTATTGGAGCTTGTTAGTTTTTCTCAGTATCAGCTTAGATAGAACGCATCTCAAATAACCAAGTCAATATTGATTGCATGATTAGGAAAGTCGCAGCAGAACTGAAATCGTTTTTTATATTGATTTTCATTTAGTTTAATTTCGCTGCAATTTTAGTTTTTAGTTTAATTCAAATCCACCTTTTAATAATTTCTGTCTTGACTAGATTGTGCCTGATTCAAAAAGGCATTGACCATTAGGCTGTGTCCCTAAGAATTCGACCCTGCTTCCGTGTGCTATATTTTTAGTGCAACCAGTAGTGATAATTTATTTGCTTAATACGCGTGCGACATCGTGTTAACAGTTTTCTAATATGTTTTGTAAATCGAATTTTGATAATTGTATTGATAAAAGTTACGTTATATTTATTGATAATAAATATATAAGGTTGATACCATTGTTAGTGGATGAGGTTAACACTAAGGTTTAAAAAATCGAGGAGATAAAAGTGATATTTTATAAAATTAAAGTCGACCATCAAAGTGACATTTAATAAAGTGTTGAGCATCAACGCTACCGGTTGATCTAAAAACAATTGGTGTTAGAAATGGCGCAACCTTACCCATATAGCGCATTCAGTCATCTAGGACCACGCATTCGATTGCGACACTCCGAGCCATCGTGCGAAGACTCGGTCGATGCCATTTCTGACCCCTAATAATCCCCCCTCAGAAATTGGTCCGTGTGAGAATCGAACCCTCACCACTGGCTCTGATACCACTTGTTATTATTGCCGAACTTTACTACACTAGCATTTTCAAGACTTTGATAATCTCTCAAGTTTTCCTTCTTCCCAATAATGTGACGAGAGTAACCACTATCGATATACCATTTATCATCGTATTGTCCGTTACACAAAACCTGTAATCAGTAGAAAAATTTAGGTCCCCAAGGTTGTTTGGGTCCTTGTGATTAGAACAAAATGTTTGATGTAATGCAGATCCTATTATCTAAATTCAAATTTTTGACTTGACAGTATTAGTTAAGTCTACTTCATTATTTAAGGGCATCGAAATGTAATCATTCGAAGGTTTAAAGTTAACATTAACTTTCTCCTCACACTTCTTAGTTTGAGTCTCACTGACTTTTTCTTTCGAAATTGTTTTCCATTGTTGAACAGAAGGATTCAAATCTTTTATTGAAGAACTTCTACTTGATGATTGGTTTAGATATTTATCATATGCTTCCTTAATCTGTTCTTGAGAGAATTTTCCTGATTGGAAATGTTTCCCCTTTCCTTCGAACCAATGATTTAGATTCTTTACATTCGTTTTTCCCTTAACAAATGAGGTGTTAACTGTTTGTTTCGAAGGTGGATTTGGAAAGTGTGGTTGTTTTGGCTTAAAAGGTTCATTTCTTCTCCTTTGGACGTCCAACTTTTGATAGTTATGGCAGTCTCGTTGGAACTTCAGCTTTGTAACGAGATTGAAATCTATTTTGATACCCAATTTTATGTTTTGGAAAAACTGTTTGTGGGTTCGAAAATTGATTTTGACGTGGAACTCAATGATAATTCTTTTTCTCATTTGATTGAAAGCCATTTCTTTGAGAATTATTTTGTGAAAATCTTTGATGTTGTGAGTTCTGAACAAAATTCTTTGTTTTATGCTTTTCACATAACCATCATGATATGAGTTTTGAACATGAGATGTTTGTTTTGATTTCGAAACTTTTTCTTTGTTTTTAGAAAAATCTTTTTGAACTTGTGTGTTTTTGAAGAATTTTTCTTTTTAACAAAAGATTCATTTTGTGACATTGTCTTAACACATTCCGACTTTTTCTTTTTAGTCATTTTGGCCAATGGGAAGTTTATAGTCAATAGAGTTGCTTATGTCGAAGGTCTTCAACACAATTTGATCAGTGTTTCGCAACTTGTTGTGGGCACTGACAATCAAGTTGTTTTTGATAAAGAAGGGAGTATCATATCGAACAAAGAAACGAAAGAAGTTATTCTTAAATCAAAGTGAAAACACGATATGTTTACACTTGACATCAAACCTATTGTTGGTGTTCCTTCAGTTTGTCTACTTCCGAAGGCTTCCTCTGACATTAGCTAGTTGTGGCATCGAAGATTGTCTTATTTGAATTTTAAGAATTTGAACAAATTGGTGGTAAAAGATCTTGTTTTAGGTTTGCTAGTTTTAAAACTTGATAATGATATTTTTGATGGGTTTTATACATAAGAAACAATCCTATGTGCTCATACAAACCCTAATGCTTGGATCTAGGTTTCTCTATTGTACATGCTTTGAATCCAAGACTTACAAACCTATATCTATCATATATAATTCAAAATAATCATAAAGAAAACAAATCTAAGTGTTTTACCTCTTTCAAGTGGCTTGAAATCCTTGTAGTCTTCTTGATCTTGAGCTTAGAGTCATAATTGTAACTCCTCTAATGGTTCACAAACCCCACAAGCAAGAAGGAAATATGAGGAAGGACAAGAGGTGCTAAAATTGTATTAGGGTGCTGTTAGAAGCATGTGTAGACGATTTCCATAGCCTAGGGGTCTTATTTATACTTGCAGGCTGCTTGGGTTTCAGTCTAAACCCTAATGGACAACTTAATCACCAAGCAGCCCAAGGAACCATCTGGAATAAGGCCTTGGACGAAAATATGATGGATCCCCATCATAATTTCGTTCCCTCTTAAGTCCATAAGGGTTCCTTAGCCCAAAAGTTAACTATCATACATTTGACAGTTTATACCCCTTTATTTAATTAATCTTTTTTAGTCATCAAATTAATTCCTAATTAATTTATGACCAATACTAATTAAATAAGTATGATTTCTCCTTTAATATATTATTCTAATAATATATTATTCTAATAATATATTAATAAACCATACTATTCTCTCTTTCTCCTTAAATTACCTTGTCAAGTTGCTTTGGTGAAGGCAACCCAAAAGGACCATTCACAACCGGGTCAAGTACATACCAAATATAGTTACGCGCTTAGA